CTTTTTTTGTGGGTGGGGGAGAAGATTTTTGCTATAGGGATCATATATTCACTGGAGAGACAGAGAGAAAAGGAGGGAGAGAGAAAGTGAGAAGTCATCTCCCAGAGGGAATGGCCATGCTGCAATCACTTCTCCTCCATTCTCCTCTCAGGATTTTGAACACCCGTCCAGCGTGAGTTTCAAGCTGCCAGGTCTAGAATTCGAACCACAGTTAGCTATGTGGGAGTCCAGCACCTTACCCACCCACATCACCTCAAAATTTAACAGTTTTTAAAGCCATACGTACACATTGGTCTGACCTGGGTCAGTAACAGCCATGGAGGTGGTGTCACAAAGAACATAACCACTCCTACTGCTATGTGTGGAATTAGGGGAGAAAAGAAAGTGTCCAACAACACAGACTGCTATTTCTAGAATCTGGGTACGTTTACTGACCAGAAAAGCAATCTGTCCATCACATCCCCTATTCTTCAGATCTGCTTGTAGATGCCTAATTCATCATGTAAAGATTCAAATTCTAGGCCCTTGAAAATCGGAGATGCAGTTGGTGAGGGGACTTGGCTCCTTACTCCACCCACTGCAGCCTTTCCTTCAGCTTGAGTGGGACTCTGCTAGGTTGTGTTACACCTTTGTTCATAAAACATGTGGAGTAGACTCAGATTCCATAGAGACAGTAACTCATCCTCTTCTTGGTCAATCCTCCCCATCCTTCTGTCTTCTCTAGTTCAGTAAATGGCACTGTGCATAATCCAACTGCCCAGTCTAAAAATCTGAGGTCACCATTCTTTCTCTGCCAGTTCTACTTGCTCAATCTCTTTTCAACTATCGGCTTCTCTTCAGACCTACTGTCACCATCCTGGTCCAAGCCGTCTCACCTCTCACCGTGCATCCCTTTAGTCATATGCACTACCAACCCATTTTCCACACTGTAGCAGGTGATCTCTTTAAAAATCTGCTCATTTCCCTTCCCTAGTTAAAACTTTTGTAGCAAGTCAGCTCCACAGTGCAATGGTTAAGTGCTATACATTGATACCACAGGGCCAGTTACCGTTCAAATGCTAGCTTGGGAAACACGCCAGGCACATGTACATGCATACCCCAAATTCTGATAGGATGGAGAAATGGATGAGAAAGGATTATGGTGTGACCATGATCCAAGGAGGGATGGTGCTTTCTCTCTGTTCCTTCCCGTCTCTAGTGAGTGCATGCACCCTCTGGCAATTAAAAAGATGAAGAAGAAGATAGAAAACTTCAGTAGTTTCCCAGTATTACCCATCCTAACTCCTCAATATGGCTAACAAGTCTCCATCATTATCACCATAACTTCCCGCTTACCTCCACAGCCTCACCTTCCACCTGGTCCGCTTGCTCTCTGTCCTCCTGAGTAAGAGACTTTCTTCAGTTTCTCAAATGAGCCCCACTGTCTCCCCCTTTTTTTCTTTTGCATGTGCTGCTCCCTCTGTCTGCGACATTCTTCCCTTTCCCCTTCACTCAGCTAGGCCCTACTCATGCTTCAAGCCTCAATTTCATTTCCTCTGGTAACCAGCCTCAGCTCCTCAGGCTAGGTTATGTGTGCCTCCCACACATTCCTGTAACATTTAGCATCTGCTATTAGAAACTCATATCACATGGGGCTGGCAGGTGGCATGGTGAAGAGCACTGGACTCCCACATGGTCAACTGCAGTTCAAGTCCCAGATCTGGCAGCTTGCTTTCTCACTTTACCTCTCTCTGTCTCTCTCTCTCGCTGCCCCTGTCTGGTCAAATTGAAAGAGAGAGAGAAAGAAAGAGAAAGAAAAAAGAAAGTTAAATAAAGTAATTATTTTTTAAAAGAGAAACTCACATCCCATGTGTAATGACTTGCCTACCTACCACCTGTCGTCTCCTCCCCGTCATAAACTCCCCGAGGGTCTGGATTTTTCTATCTTATTCCCCACTGTATTTCCAGCACCAATGTCTGGTGCATAATAGGCCTTCAATAAACGTTTATCAAGTGAGTGCTAAAAGGCAAGTCTGTGGGAGTTTTCTTAATGCTTTTTATCTTGAAATCATTTCATACTCACAGAAAAGTTATTATAGTACCTAGAACTCCTGTATGTCATTCACTTAGCTTCATCAATCCTTAACTTGTAAAATTCATGGTAAGAGGGCCAGCTGGTGGCATGTTGGTTAAGGCACTGGACTCCCACATGGCCAACCACGATTCAAGTCCTAGACTGGAGGCTTGCTTTCTCACTTTCTCTCTACCTCTCTCTCTCCCTGGTCAAATTAAAATAATCATAATCATAATGAATCAAATTAAATAATTTTTTAAAATAAGTAAGAAAATTCATGATAGAATGCATGCACATGCATAAGAAAAAGAGAGAGGAAGAGGGAGAAGCACCCTCCACAGGGGCTGGTTATGTTGAAATCCCCTCCGTTCAGCCCCCCAGCCCACCAGGATCACGGGCACACGTATACCTGGCATATTATCAGACCAGCCAGCCTGGAAGACTCCAATCACATTTGGCATGTTGCTTCCAGTTCCACAGTCACTGTTCTGCAGAGCTAGCCCAATCAATCGTTAGCTTTTGCCACATGTACTTTATTATTTTCTTTGTGTACAAATTTGTACATTTTTTTCTGAAACTTTGAAAGTAAATCACAACCATCAAGCTCCTTCCCACCTAAAAATTCAGTTGTGGGCTGGCAGGTGGCATGGTGGTTAAGGGCGCTGGACTCCCACATGGCCAACCACAGTTCAAGTCCCAGACCTGGTGGCTTGCTTTCTTACTTTCTCTCTCTCTCTCTCTCACTCACTCTGTCCCTCTCTGGTCAAGTTAAAATAAATAAATGAATAAATAAAGTTAAATAAAATATTTTTTAAAAAAATTTAGTGGTACTTCCATGGGGACCAGCAGGTGGTGTGGTGGTAAGGGCACAAGGTACTCCCATATGGGCAACCACGGTTCAAGTCCTGGACCTGGTGGCTTGCTTTCTCACTTTCCCTCTCTCCCTCTGTGTCTCTCTCTGGTCAAATTAAAATAAATGAATGAATAAATAAAGTTAAATAAATAGTCCTTTTAAAAATAAATTCAGTGGTATTTCCTAAGAACAAGGACATTCTCTTAAAAATAGCATCCTAGGGGCCGGCAGTTGGCGTAATGGCTATGTTGCTGGATTCCCATGTAGTGGACCACGGTTCGAGTCCCGGACCCGGTGGCTTAAACTCACGCTGCATACCCCAGATCCCAAGAGGAAAATGGAGGAGAAGGGATTGCGGCGTGGCCATCCCTCCTGGGAGGTGATTTCTCACTTTCTGTCTCTCTATCTTTCTGGCGAGCACATGTGCCCTATAACAAAAACCTCTCCAAAAAAAATAGCATCCTATATACCGTTATCAAAATGATAAAAATTAACAGACACGTGAATTCTAATTCTCACATGTGCTTGTTATTTTTTAGAGAAGTATTAAGTAGTGGAGAAGGGTGGCAGTCTCGGATTAAGTGCAGACATTCGTAGGGTCACCTCCCTTTCTCCTTCCTCTCTACCTGTCCTTGTTCAGTTTCCTCAAGTCGGAAACTGAAGTTGGGCAGGCAGAGCCTTGTTGGTCTTGTGCAGTGTTCTCTCGGCCTGCCAGTAACTCCTCCGCACCCACGTTCACACGTCGCCCTCCCTATAGTCCATTGTTGGCAGGCTGGATACATTCTGAGCAGGATGGCTTTGTTTCCCAAGATCCCAGAGAAAAGAGGACCAGTCCCACCAGAAGCAAAAGTTGGAGGGAAAAGGGAGGGACAGAAGTGGGAAGATGGCTCCTGGGACTCGTCATCATGCATGAGCAGTTCGGAGTGTCCGAGGAGGGGAGAAGACAAGCTGTGGGGGCAGTAAGATTTGTACACCTTGGGTCCTGGGCCCATCCTGCCCAGCTGAGCGGAATACCAAACAAGGGTGTCTCGGAGCTGCACTTCACCTTAGCCAGGCAGCCGACAGGAGAAGCAGCCAGCGAGACCGACAGACTGTCACTGGCAAAATGAACTGTCACCTCCCATTTTTCAGAGGCACGGCGGGATGAATTGCAGCCTTGAACCGTGCGGCCCGCTGCTGATTGAGTTCCGCTGTCTTAGAACCCCGTCGAACAAGGCGAGTTCATTTCAGACTGACGTCCTGCAGCTTATCAATTTAGGAGCCAGTAAAATTAACCGCTTCGGAGCTGATTTTCTCCCTCCTCCTGTTCAGATTCTGCATCCGGAAAGGTCACCAAATAAATCTCTCTGGGTCCTGCTAGCAGCTTGGAGACAAGGGTCTCCAAAGAGGAGGTGGAACCAAACATAGTCCAGGCCAAAAAGACTGCCGAGGTCTCTTGCAGCCAGTCGTCCATGGCAGTTGTGTGACAAGCCAGCCTTCCCCCACCCTGCTCCTGCCCACATCAACTGCTGCTCCCAAAAGATACCGCGGTTGGACAGGGTTGGGTGGCAAGAATGGAGGCAAGAATGGTAACTCTGCAGAGATCTCTGTGTATTGCTTAGCTTCATGCCCTTGGTGGCTTACACATAGTAAGTGCCCAGTAAACGTCTATTAAACCAAATACAACTTGATGTTTGCTTTAGCCTCAGTGATTAGTTTAAAAGTTTAAACAAGTCAGGAGGGACAGGGCCTTGGTGGAGAGCGGAGGGAAAGGGATACTGTATAGGGGTATTGTCACTACCACAGCCATTCATGGGGCTCAGTCCCTGCAAGAAGCCTAGAAGCCTGCTGGTAAGTTGAAATGCAGCTCTTTAGAGCAGACCAAGAAGCTTACCAACCAGAGTCCTCTGATCCCAGAAGAAAAAGTGTCGCCGCCTCCCTCCACCAACACAACCTCACACTTCTCTGCTCATAAAGGCCTGTGTCTAATATCTAATTAGCAGCTCTTAGCTCTCTTCTGCATCTGGGGCACAAATAATTTTCTTCCTACCTCCCTTTTTTTCAGAATTATTTTATTTAGCTTTATTTAATTAATTAATTTATTTATTTATTTATAAAAATATGGAACGTGTCATGAATTTTGCATGTCATCCTTGCTCAGGAGCCATGCTAATCCTCTCTGTATCGTTCCAGTTTTAGTACATGTGCTGCCAAAGCGAGCACCCTCCATCCCCTTTTGAACCTCTTCTTAACCACAGCAGTGTTTTTTTACTGGCAGTGTCTGATTCTGGAGATACAGACTGTTCTCGGAATGGTTTTGGACTGCCAGACACTCTGCTTCTATCTGGAAGCGTCTACTTCTCACCAAAGGCATTTCATCTCACAGGAACAAGGAATGCGTGGTTCCCTTGGGAGACCGACTGTGTAAGAAAGGCAGACTTGTGAAGAGAGCTTCAGACTGGGAAACTCGTACTCTTTCTAGGAAGGCGTCAGGTGCTAAGCTCCTGCGGCCCACACTAGCGGTCTCTGCTATCTGAAGAGAATGTGTTCACATTCCTGTTTATGCATGTGCATGTGAAAGAGGAAGGGAGAGAGCAAGAAAGAGATACCTTTTGACGGGGTCTCAACACGCTGTGCTCCTTTTCCCATAGCCTTCCAGCTCATCGGGATCTTGGGCATGTGCATACCCAGCATGCTTTACTGCCGACTAAGGATCCAATTCCAAGCTCAGCCATGTGGCTTCCAGCACTACAAGTTAGCATGCTACCATCCACACCATCGAGGCAGGCCTATTCTCTTTTCAGTTTTCATTGGGGACTTTTATCCCCAGGATGAGATCTAGATTTAAATCTGGCTCTATCTTTTAAGTTACTAGACTTGAGCAAATTATTAACATCTAAGCCTCATTTTCCCCACCTATGAGTCCATGCAGTTGTTAAAAATTTTAAATCGGGGCCGCAGGTGGCACGGTGGTGGAAGTGCTAGACTCCCACATGACCAACCGTAGTTCAAGTCTCAGACCTGACAAGTTGCTTTCTCACTTTCCCTTTCTCTCTCTCAGTGTGTGTGTCTAGTCAAATTTAAATAAATGAATAAATAAATAAAATGAAGTGAATCCTTTTTCTAAAGGTTCAAATCATTTTATATAGTCTAGAACCTTAATCAACTATAGAGTACAGATGCTGGAGTTCATTCATTTTAGTCTCATCAATGAAAGAAAAATAGGAGAATAAATGTCATGCAGCGTTTCAAAATTTGATCCAGTAATTCATCTTCTAGGACTTTATCCCACAAAAGTGCTCACATATGTGCAAAAAAAGGATGTATGAGTGAAGACTTTCATTGCAGCTTTTTGAAAAATGAGAGATAACCTAAATGTTGTCAATAAGAGATTGGGTAAATAAATTATAATGTCTATTGTGCAACATTCAAGTGGTTATAAATAATATGATAAGTATATTTAGAAGTCCTATGGTTGTTATAGTTGAGAATTAGTATCAATTTATATAAACTAATATGATTATTGCATCTTTAGATACTTAAGTGTTCATTAGACAGTTGTTCATAGGAAAATACATCCACCTAAACCTTAGGGAAATATTCAAAGCTTTTCTCCCAGCCTGTTCATTTAACACTTATTTACTTATTTATCTATTTACTTGTTGTATTTTTGAGCCTCTGAGTGTGGGACTTGAACCAGGGTTGGCCATGTGGGAGTCTAGTACCTCATCTACCACACCACCCCAATATCCAAAGTTTTAAATAAGATGGGATCATCCTCCATATAACAGTTGCATTTCCACTTACTATATTATAGGCATCTCTTCCTATCCATAGTTTATCATTTTTATATTTTAAAAACTTACACAGATTTTTTTTAAAGGCCATGGATGATAAATATAGTTCTCTGGATTAACTTTTGAGGGGAACAAAAGGAAACTTGTAAATGTTTGAAGTGTGTTCTCAGGAATACCAATCTGTACTATTCTAGCAGTGTAAGAGCAGTTTCTAGTTGTGAGTTGAAACAGCCCTAAACCAGAAAGCAGCGTTCAGAGCTTCTGTCCCAGTTCTACCATTAACTCACTACATGACATCAACCAAATCACTTATCTGGGCCCCAGTTTCTGCATCAGAAAATGAGAGTGTTAAAGTACATGTTCTCTAAGGTCTCTTCAAGCTGAAAATTCTCTGGTTCTATGAAATCGCTTTTCAAAGATTCAAGAAAGGATGTTTCTATATAATTATAGTCTCTGGTCATCTCTGGCAGATCCAGGAAGATTTTAACAAGGCCTTAGGTTCTCTCATGCAACAAAATTCTTTTTATTTAGACAAAAAGGTTCCTGCCCTCAAGGAACCTATCATTTAAAAAAGAAAATAAGACAGTTGAATCAATAAAAATACAAAGGTACCAAGTTTTACCGGAAGAATGAACAAGATGAGATTGTTGAGAGGGGGATCAGTGAAACTGTCCTGTACGTTCCTAGCAGCCCTAGAGCTCCGCAAAGGGGTTCAGAAGCTGCTTCAGGATGGAAGCAACAGTACAAAAAAGCAAGTGCTGTCCCCTCCTCAGCCCTGGTTTAATCAGTGTAGCTGTACTTTTTTCTTCCTTTTTTTTTTCAGAGATTTTTGCTATAGATGCATACAGTCACCAGAGAGACAAAGCGAGACAGAGACAGAAAGTGAGAAATCACCCGCCAGGGGAGATAACCATGACACAATCCCTTCTCCTCCATTCTCCTCTTGGGATTTGGGGCATGCACACACACGTGCCTGGTGTGAGTTTTAAGCCGCCAGATCAAGGACTCAAACTGTGGTCCACGATTTGGGAGTCCAGTGATGTAACCATTACGCCATCTGCTGGTTCTGAGTAGCTGTGCTTTTATCAGCAGCGTGTATCTAAGAAGTCTAAGACTTTAAAGAATAGGGCTGGGGCCAATGGATGGCAAAATCACTGGACTTCCACATAGTAGGACTGCGATTTGAGTCCTGGACCTGGCAGCTTAACAGTCATGCCAGGAGCTTGCGTGCATGCCCAAAATCCCAAGAGGAGAATGGAGAAGAAGCAATTGAGATTTGGTCATCCCTCCTGCAGGGGATGATTTCTCACTTTCTGTCTCTTTGTCTCCCTCTGTCTCTCTGGCAAGTGCATACACTCTATAGCAAATATCTCTCTAAAAAGAAAGAAAGAAATAGGGCCACTGTAACAATTACTTGAAACCCACTGGCCTAGATGATTTCTAAGGCCAGTTTCACCTTTAAGATTCCACACTCCTATGATTCTAAGATGTAATTAAGTTTTTATATTCTGCATTCAGTTTTCATGTATGAGGATACCTCATAAAGTCCAAGGAAAAATGAAATTAAGGTATGAATTTATTTTGGTGCAAAAAACTTTTTTAGAATACACATTTACATTAATTTTTTGAAGACCCCTTATACATAGAAAATGCCTGTCATGGGGACAACCTGGGGCAGAGTAGTTAAGGTGGTTGGATCTCAGATGACTGACTGCGTGGTTTGAGTCCTGTACCCAGTGGCCTGAAACACATGCCAGGTGCATGTGCATGCATGCTTGACATTTGCATACCCAAAATACAAGAAGAGAGAATAGGAGAGAAGGGATTTGTAGCATGGTCATGCCAACTGAGGGGTGCTTTCTCACTTTCTCTGTTTTTCTGGCAAGCACACGCACCCTATAGCAAAAAAAAAAAAACTTTTAGAAGGAAGAAAGAAGGGACTGCCAGGTGGCATAACTGTTAGGGGTGCTGGGCTCCCACCTGGCTGACTGCAGTTCAAGTCCCAGACCTGGCGGCTTGCTTTCTCACTTTCCTTCTCTCTCGCTCTGTCCCTCTCTGATCAAATTAAAATAAACAAATAAATAAATAAAGTTAAATAAAATAATTCTTAAGAAAAAAGAGAGAAAGAAAATTAACTTTATAAAGATTATTGTTTAAAACCAGTAATTATTTTATCATATGAATAATGAATCCTAGATATATCTGTTTAACACACTCAGATTTTTCTGTCCCAAATTTTCTGAACCCAAGGATGGGTTTTAATTATAAAAGGATTGGATGGGAAAATAAAGCCAACAGAGAGATTATAAAAAAAAATTTGTAGGGGCTAGCAGTGGCGTGGTGGATAGGATACTGGACTCCCACATGGCTGATCATAGTTCGAGCCCTAAACCTGATGACTTGCTTTCTCACTTTCTCTCTCCCTCTCTCTCACTTTCTCTCTCACTCTGTCTCTCTGTGGTCAAATTAAAATAAACAAGTAAATAAGTAAATAAAGTTAAATAAAATAATTATTTTTTAAAAATTTTGCAAGATCCTGGAAAACCATGGAATAGGTGTTGGCTTCATCAGTGAGGCAAAAGATATAGAAGTGGAGCTAGAATTACTGAACTTTACCTTTGAATTAAGCCATTCTTGCTTCATAAAACACATGTCAGAAAATACATAATAATTGTAACAATGCTAAATGCTTTCTCTGCGTTATTTTTTTTTTTTGAGAAGTTTTTGCTATAGGGCACGTGTGCTCGCCAGACAGGCAGAGAGAGACAGAGAGACAGAAAGAGAGAAATCACCCCCCAGGCGCGATGGCCACAATCCCTTCTCCATTCTTCTCTCGGGATCTTGGGCACGCACACACACGTGCCCGGTGTGAGTTTAAGCTACCGGGTCTGGGATGCGAACCGCGGTCGACAACGTGGGAGTCCAGCGACATAGCCATTACGCTAACTGCTGGTCCCTCTCTGCGTTATTTTATTTCATCCTCTTGATTCCATAAGGTGGGCATTATTGGGCCAGCAGGTGGCATGGTGGTTAAGGGCACTGGACTCCCACGTAGTCAACCAAGGTTCGAGTCCTGGACCTGGCGGCTTGCTTTCTCACTACCTCCTCCTTCTGTCCCTCTCTGGTCAAATTTTTAAATAAATAAATAAAATAATTTTTCTTAAATTTTTTAAAAGATGGGTACTGTATTCTCCCTCATTTACAAAAAGGAAACTGGAACTAGAAATGTTAAGTACTTTGCCCAATGTCACAGAACCCGGGTTCAAACCCAGAGTACATGACAGCAAAGCCCATGCTCACAGCCAGCGCAAGTTAGTCCCATGTTGCTACTGCTAACCATGACGCTGGGTAGCTGGTTGGTCATCCAAGGTTCAAAGGATTCAGATGGGACTCTGCCTTCCAGTTCCTCCATGCATTTATGTTGTC